TAGCAGGGATGAAGCTGAATTTAAGCATGTTTATTTTTAGATAAACACACAGTGACTGAAAGAACTCGGTTCGATTTACTGAAGAGTCTTGCATTATTAGCTGTAATAGTCACTGTTGACAAATCCACACTTCCTCCCGAGAGAGCTCAACTGAAATAAATTTTTCAGGAGTATATATATATATATATATATATATATATATATCATGACATCCTACACATATGCTACATATATATATATATATATATATATATATATATATATATATATATATATATATATATATATGTGTTTATTTATAAAATGATTTTAGAATACAGAAAATTACTGAAGTTACCTGTAATTGTAGATATCAGTTATCAGTTACGGATAATTACACTAAGTAATTTTTCTGTATTCTAAAATCAAAATTATCTATGCTCTATTCCAAGCATTGAGCACTATAGTAAACTCTATTCATTATAAATTTAAATCTTCATCAGACCGGGTGTAACAGCAAAATTGTCCAACAGTTAGATTAAGCTCTGAAAAGTTGAAATGATTAAAGATATCTTACTAGAATTCTCCAAGGTTTTTATAACACTATTGAACTCTACTTTGAGCAATGAGACTGGATAATTTCTCCCTAAACTTAGCAGAAGTTTCGTGATGAAATCGATCATAAACGAAACTGACTTGTTCATCATTAATCATAGCTAAGGATTGGAAGCTCATGAAGTATTGAAATAAAGTTCAAATATATATATTATTCCAGGATTATTTTCCAACTTATTCAAGATGATCTTCACCCTCTCTAACCTTCTAACTTCTGTCCTGGAGTAGCAAGGTACCACACACATTTCATGTATGATTACATTTTTAAGTCTTTTTTCACTTCTCTTTGGACTATCATCGGTGAAACTCCTCTCTAATGAGCCAAATATCTTATGGATTGAGTTGGATCTTTTGTAACTGATCTCTTTAGCTCTAAGGTGAGATGATGATCCCTCTTCCTGTTGTGATCTCCCGATACTGTTTTCCTCTCTAATGTTCACTCTTTTTAAACTTATTCAACATTCCCTTGATGATTCCCTTGATGGTTCTTTGAATGACTGAAGCCAGAGTATGACTATTGATACCATTACAGAAGCCAGTTGGGAAGACAGCGGCTTTGACACAAAACAATTCTAACCTGTTCTCTTTTTAGCTGAATAACTCAAAATGTTTTTACCGATTCTTACAACAAATGGTGTCAAGATGGATAAATACCTTATCTGAAAACCTGGAAAAAAGGAACTCAATTGGTTTAGTGGATTTTTAGAAATTAAACATTTTGTGGGATGGACAATTATGTTGTTACATGATTTGGACAATTTTGCTGTTACACCAGGTATAATATGAACAGACCTTGTGTTTGTTTAAAACTCTCCTAATATCAAATATGTCATTGTAAATATTTATTTTGTTTTGTTTAAGGCTCTTTTGCTAATAATGGCTTTGATTTTCTTACAATACATCCATTTCAATTATTTCTGTATTTTTGTATGCTTCTTATTTTATAAACTGACATTTCTCTAGTCATGCAGTTTTCATCCATTACTTAACATAACCAGTTTTCTTTGATCTAGTTTATCTAATTTCAAAAGTCAACCATTTTTCCCCTCTCCAAAATTCTTCAAACTCAACCTACTTCTTCTGGATGAGTTGAACAGAGTTCTTGAATAATCCAAGCTCTTTGGTAATTTCATATTGGGTCATTTTTTGTGACATTTCAATGAATCTTCAACCTCTTCTCTAAACCAACTGTTCTTGTTATAATCTGTGAAGAATGCAAAATGTTATTATGGCTTTAAAAACAGGCATTTTAAAAGTATATATATGCATAATATATACAAAGATATTAAAACAAAAGGGGTGGGGAGGAGCAAAAAGTAAAAAACATTATTTATCATAAAATCCTTAATTTTCAGAAGTAAATCATGGACAAGATATATAAATATATGCACAAGGAATAAAAAAAGGAAAAATACTAACAGAGAATCAGTAATATAAATTCCAGAGAGATTCCATTAAGAATCAGCAATATTCTTTCTGATTACAGAAGGAAGGCTGCTTAGACTTAACATATAAGGTCACAAGATTTTCAAATGTCAAATGTGAAATATGATCTGCTGACTATTGTTGTGGAGGTGGAAATGGGTACCCTGGAAGACAGAACATTTCTTTTTTGTTGTTGTTGTTATTGTTGCTACTGTTGTGGAGGTTAATTCTTTCTCTGCCTTGGTAAATTTAAGTAAAAGAATACATTGAGAATGGGCAAATAAATATATATTTTATTTACATACATACAAAACTAGTAACTTTTATCTGTTGCTGTTGCTAAGGCAACAAGGACAAAAGAATGGTGAAATTAGACATTGCTGATGATTGTTGTTGTTGTTTCTCTCTCAGTATGGATGATGTTGATCTGCATCACATCTTTCTCTCAGCCTGGCAGTGTTGATGTCCAAGTTGGACTGTGTTGACTTTGTTTTAGTTAGAGAACATATAACAATCTTTTGGCTCCAAATTAAACTTTTGGTGTTTGGAGTGAGAGTGGCTCTGACTGGTCAATAAATTGTTCATTTTATTTTGGTTAAAACAGATGTATGCTTGGAACCGATGTACAGAAAACACATTTAGACAGTCTGCTTTGGGTTGTCTAGCAGTCAACATCCAGTTTGAGCATCAAAAAGTCACAACACTACTGTGAAAAATCAGATTATTTATTAAGTTTTCTAAACCACAGAACTGGAAGTATTAACTGGACGTATGTAAATTTTCATGCTGCCTCCAACGGAACTTAGCTGGCACATGCCATTCATCTCTCACCTCTAAACTCTGATTAGTTCTGCCAATATATTCAGCATTTAAAATCATTAAACTAACATAATGTGGTTGTAGGGGGGATGTAAAAACAAGCTTTGGATTCGCCAAAAAATAACAAAGCTACACATTTTCAAAGATGTTTTTTTAATTATTTCACCCCAAGCAAGGCAATAAAGCTACTAAGATACAAGGGTTTACTGAGTGTAAAAGAATATCAGAAAAAAAAAAACATTATTAAGGAGAGAGTACAATAAAAGAACAAGAAGATAGCAATTGACATTGCATTTATATTTTTGAAAATCAAAGCTGATTGGAAAGCAAGAAGGTGGAAGAGAGTTCCACAAATAAGAAGTGTAAGAGAAGAAAATATTATCATATAATTTGTGGTTATATCCAACAGATTCAACTTTAAAATGATAAAACCTTAGCACTAATCTAGTACTATACTTAAATTCATAAATTCTAAGTCCCATAAAGGAAATCCTATCAGAACATTTCAAATGAAAGTATTTATAGAAAAGGCACAGGGAAGCTATATCATTGCAGTGGGAAGAGACTGAAGCTTAGATGACAGGTCAGGACTAATAGCATTGCAGATTCTTTTTGTATTTTCTCAATAATCTCTGAATGAATATGGCAGCAATATTCAATGCATGGACAAATGGTAGATTTACAAAGGTTTAAGGTAGATTCTGGCAGAAAAATTATCTAGCAGAACACACTGAACCTATTTTCCTTGTAGAAAACCTAGTAATTGATTCAGTATAATCTTTTCACTTCATGTCAACAGAAAATATTAGATCCAGAAGGCACACTGTGTCACTCTCTTGGATGTTAGCATCAGCTATATTGATGGAAGGTTAAAAAAAAGTTTTCTTAGATGATTAACAGAAGGAGTTGTGTTTTGGATGCATTAAAATTAACAAGCCATTTCTTGCCCCAATTAACCACATATTGTAGATCATTTTTTTAGATCAGCTGCCAATTTACAAATTGATGAGAGTTAAAATTAAGACAGTAGTAGATAAGCATGTCATCAGCATTGGTGTTTTATTGAGAACAGATGACATCATGAAGGTCATTGATTAAAATTATGAAAAATATTTGGTCCAAAGATAGAGCTGTGGGTGGATGCCTGAATTAATGCAAAAAGCTATAAAAGAGTGGCCAGTCAAGACAACTTACATTTTGTGATTTGATAAGAAAGATTAAATCAGATCAAAAATGCTATAATCTTTCTACTTGTGAAGAAGGACAGTAAACCAAAACCTGTCAAATATGTTTGATATATCCAAAACAACAGTGCAGGCTTCACTATTCTGATCTAAAGCTTGACAGACTCTTTCATCAATAACCATTAATACATCAACAGTTGACCTAGAGAAGCAAAAGCCATATTATTTATCTTGCAATGTAAGATGCTTAACTAATTCAGTGTTGATTAAAGCATCTAGAACATTAACAAAAAGAGGTAGAAGACTAAAAGACTGATTGTTACAAGGATCAGATGTATTGCCTGAATTCATAAAGATAGGAACTATAGGAGGAGATTTCCAACAAGCAGGAAAATAAGAAGCAGCTGTTCAGTGAGCCTATAACCCTAACCCAATCATGGTGAATGATGGTGATGATGATGATGATGATGAACATATGTGTATTAAAAGCATATCTATTGATCCTGAAAATTCTAATATTTTATTAGATGTTCTTTTAGTGTCTGAGAATTTGACAAAACTTGTAAAATTATAAAATTAAATAAAATTAAAAATCTAAGTTGGTAAATGTTTTGTTTAGAAGAAAGTTAATTTGTTCTTAGAATGCAGTAATTCTTTGTGCATCAGCTGTGAACTGATACCTATCTCCTGTCTTTTTGAGGTTTGATCAGGAAGGAACCAATATTAATAGAAGCAGGGTCAAGTTCTCTCTTGAGGAAATATTTCTTAATTCCAGAGTTTTCTATTTATGAAAATGGAACATAAATGTGAAGGCTTTATACAAAATTTCACAAGTACTTTTTTTTTTAGAATTCTGTTGTCGATGCTGACCAGAAGCAGAAAAAAATATGCCTGTTTAGTTTATGGCCACTGGAATAAGAAATACTTTTTTTGCCTCTAAATCAGCCATTTTGTTTCCCTTTTTGAAAATTTTTTCAGCTTTCTCCACCTTCTCTTCTTTTCTTGCTTCTTCTTTTTTCTTACTTTCCTTTCTTCTTTTTCTCCTTTTATCATCCTTTTTTTTCTCTCTTTAAAAACGTTTCAGAATCAGAAAGTTAAAACATATCAAGAGATCTCAAATGTGGATAAATTTATTCTCTGATAATATCTAATGTTGTTTGAGCATATCATGAGACAGCAGACATTTTCTAAGAAGGATGTTCAGACTGTATTCTCATCATAATTTCAACTTACCATTGTAAATCTTCATCAAAAATAAATTTCAAACTCTGTAAAAGAAATAATCTATTTAAGAAGAAGAATTTCTTTAAGAGAAATAATCTCTTTAAGAGGAATTATCTATTTAAGTAGAAACTAAACAAAAGGGTTTATAAGGTTTTCAAGTCAGGTTTATAAATTGTTCTCTACATAGGAATTTTATTTAAAAGTATTTGATCTTTTGATCTCTGGCAAACTAAGAAATAATGAAGATGTTTCACAGGTCAGTGGAAGTATTTTATATAAAATAGATCACCATTTTTTTGTTTAAGAATTAGTGCTAATATTTCTGCTTAAAGATATCTGTTGATTAACAGATTTAATCCCTGCAAATTGGGCATTATTACTGAATTTGTTGATTTTATAAAACATTTTAATGTTAATGAATGCATTTATGAGATATATGACTAGTGGAGTAAATGTCAACAGATTTACCCTATTAAAAATATATATATATATGTTGATGATAACAAGGTTTACAGAAGCACCTCTAAAAGATCGGACTTCAGAGCCTTACAACTAATCAGTCTACTGATCTAGCTGTAAAACCTCAGTGAGGATAAAGTTGACTTATAAGTTTCAGTAATTCTCAAACCAAGCTGGTATGATTTCATCATCAATGAGAAAATACTAAGATTTCTCCATTCACACTGAATGGTTGCACTCTCAATGAGACTCGCTGCATTGAACGTTTGTTGTGATTCAAGTTCATTCCAGGCCTAAAGTGGAACTCGCATACACTAAAATCTTTGCTAAAAATGCTGGAAAAATGATTGGTTCATTCTGTCATTTCAGGAAGAACCTGACACCTGCCATGCTTTATTGTTACAAAAAATGGAGTATTACTGCAATGTCTGGACTGAAGCTGCCCATCCTCACTTTCCAGCCTTGATAGGGTTCAAAATCATTTACACAGTCTTGTCGGGGATGATTTGTTTTTCACTCTGCAGTCTCTTTCAAACAAGCACAACATCACAAGCCTATCGTTATTTCCATGGCAATTGTTCAGAGGAGCTCTATTCTTTAGTTCTACCAAGTTCAAACCTTTATAGTTAAGACTCACAATACTACATCCATGGAGTTGAATCACCGACATTTCCTCTGTATTATATTTGTAAGGGGTAAGCTCTACTCAGACTGCTTTTTCCTGAGAATTGCTACTTTGTGGAACAATGCTTCCCTGAACACTACAATCTTGACCTCCTCAGATTGATTACCTATCCTCCTTATCCTCACAAACGTCACTTCCTTCTGGCTCCTCTTAAATTCATACCACATGCCCCATCTGTACCCTCTCTACATGAATGGATCTTAAGCCTTCTATTGGGTGAAAAAAAAGCTAGGTATTGCAACTGTAACAATTAGATTTTGACAGGATTATCCTCACAATTGACACTTCCTTCTGGCTCATTTTAAATTCATACCACATGCCCCATCAGTACCCTCTCTACATGAATGGACCTTAAGCCTTCTATTGGATGAAAAAAAAAGCTAGGTATTGCTACTGTAACAAGTAGATTTTTACAGGCTGGTTCTACTAGCCACTTGTCCAACTGGTTTTGAATTCAAAGTTGTCTTTTTAGATTTATACCAATCAAAGCTGATTGTCCAGCCTGCCCTGTTATTAATCCCTAGCTGTTTGGGGGAGAAGAGACAAATTCATACTTTTCTATTTATGTGATAGTAAATGCAATGGCCTCAATTTGAGTTTGAACTCAATATGCCAATCCCAATTTCTGTGCTGATAACTTCTACGCTATATGTACATTGATATTTATGAGATAATAAATAGTGGAATAAAAATTTGGGTGAAAATAATATCAATGCCGTTGAATTAATTGAAGATGGAGACTGTGTTACACCTTGCCAATTCACCCACCCTCTCTTGTGTGAATTGACATTTTCTCAAGCATTTAGACCAATTCCTTACAGGCAAGAACTTTTCCAAGTATCAAATAAAGAAAGCTTCAATAAATTGATTAATTCTTTGAATAATGAATTATTTACAAAGGGAAATTGATGAAGTGGTAAAATGGGGGATATTTTAATATTAATTGAAAAAAACTTTTTTGAAGAAATTGTCAATTTCGCATTGAGCAGATTCATTGCATCTTAGGTAATGTAATATAATTTGTGAGAATATGCATAACAAAGATATTAGTTTCAATAATTTTAGTTGTTCATAAATTCTTCTGCTTTTAAGCAAAGATGGGGTTGAGTAAATTTGGTTCCAATCTTTGGGTGTGTATTTGGAAAATGGAAAGAGCTGAAGAATGGTAAGAAATGGCATGTTAGTTGAAAGATGTTTTCCAGGGATTTTTGCTTCCATTACAACGTCCAATAGTAAGACAAAAATATTGCCTTATATCTTACTGCCAAAAATTCTACATTTTCATACCTTTAAAGTTTTGAAAAAAGAAAATCATTGTTTTTTCAGTCTCCATGATAAGAATTTCATTGAATCTCTTTTTGCTTTGAAGTTGAAGAAAAAATTAAGTTTAGTCTTTCAGTTGATCTTGTTCAGGTAAATTCCTGATCTGAAGAATATTTGGATTAAATCCCAGATGTTATGTTGTAATTTGCCAATTTTTACCTACTGAGATTTTGGTCAATGTTGTAACAGCTTTACCGTTAACAAGAAAAAAGAAAGGGGTTGTGACAAAACAACAAATAGAGTAAAGACATGTCTGAGATAAGTGAAAGAGTTTTTATTTCTCATGATCTACAAGGCTTGATTGCTTGCTTGTTCTGGGGCAGCGTATATCAGTCATGGGAAACTGAGAGTTTGTTCAGGGAATAACCCAAGGTAGTAGTCGAAATAGACACATACGGAAGATCAACATGCAGGTGTAGTCCAGTGAGATAAGCATTGAAATATTTGACTAATTATCATTGTAGTAATTGAGAGTTATACTTCTGCTACTGGTTTCATTGCTGGCTGAAGGCATCAGTGTTGATGGAAGTGCCTTGGTGTTACTGCTGAGGGCCTGGTTAAATTTGCCTTCTGTGGGATCTGCTACTATAGCCAGCCAAGTTGGATCTGCCTTCATGGCTGAAACCAGCAGTGGCTCAGAAACAGCTGTTGTGAAAACTGTGTAGGCTTTTTTCTGATTGGTTAGAAAAGATGTTTTATGACCCTAGTATTTTGGAGTAGTATTCCAGACATGGGTGCATGGAGCTAGACTAAGTTAAGGTCTGTTTTTGTCATATGAGTTGTGGATGCTGAAATGAACCCTTCCATTTTAACTTAAAGAATTGGATTTCCAATAGGAAGCGATTATGTTATACTGACATTTATTATAGATTCTTTCCAGAATCGGTTTCCTTCAACTGCACATTACTTTTGACAGAAGATATTCTTCACCTGACAACAAGGTTCTTGTTCTTTCTTCTTTGAGTCTGAAAATGAAAAGAAAAGAATAAAATGAAGAATGTTTCTAAATGTTTCTAAGATATGAAAATTATGAAAAATGAACAAAAAGAAAATAAAAAATGATGCAGTAATAAAATAAATACATCCCATCGCCCCTCTTGCTTGTAATCATCCACTATAATAAAATAAATGTTTTCACTGCTAAAGCTAAATTAGTCAAATAAAGCTTCATAGGCTTCTAATTAGAGATCTTGCTATATTACACTGAGTATTGTTGGTCATTTTATTATACTAAGGTACTGTTGATTTTTGGGGGGGAGGTGAGGTGTCACTATTTGCCCATAGCTGGGAGTGTACCTGGGAACAACAGCAATTAAGAGGTGGTTCCACATTCCACAAAACCTCCAATCTCCCAATCAGCAGCCTTAGGTAACAGGTAAGTCTGACCTTTTGTTTTTTTAATAGGATAATGACATAATGGTTATTGGCCCAGAAAATGGAATTGGGCAACTGAGTTTGCTTACTTTCATATTGCAATCCTTTGGGAAAGGAAATAAACCATTTTCCCTAATAGCAGAATAGTGAGAGTAATTTATCCCTGTAAGGTAACACGCTCCTAAAAGAAGTTTGCTCTGAGAGAAGGAAAAACTTCACAGCATGGCAGCCACCATATAATTGGCACCAGGCCCAGTTGACAAAAGGGAAGATGGGTCATTCAGGCTATCATCTTAATAATATAAAAACTAACAATAAATAAATCTTCAATAAACATTGTGGTAATAATCTTTTCAGTGCAAAAGCAGAATTAGTCAAATAAACTTCTACTTAGAGTTGAAAAAACTGAAAAAGAAAAATGAATGAAAGATGTTTTTATAATTCTTTTAATTTCTTTTCTTTCTCTTTCTTTCACTTCATAAATTTCATTTTTTCAGGTTCTCTTTTGTTTTTCTAATCATTTCACTCACAATAAAGCTACTAAGATGCAAGGGGTTACAGAGAGTTAGAGAATATGAGAAAAAACACTATTATAGTGATAGAACAATAAATGAACAAGTATTAAGAAGACAGAAGATAACTCTTGACATTGCATTTAAATGGGAAGCAAAAAGCTGGGAGAGAGAGATCCACATGTGAGAAGTGCAATAAAAGAAGCTGTTAGCATACAATTTACAGTTACTTGCCAATTCAACTGTAAAATGAAGAGACCTTGCTGCCAATCAAGTACTGAACTTAAATTCATAAAGTCTAGGTACCATAGAGGAAAGTTCATCAGAACATTCTTCCTTTTTTTCTTTGCTTTTTTATTTTTCATTTTCCTTATATTTTGTTCTTTTCTTAATTTCTATCTTTCTATTTTCTTTCCTGTTTTTTATTTCATTACTTTTCCTTTACTTATTACCCCTCTTTTATTCATTCTCTATTTTCAATGATTCTCTTTCTTTC